TCCAATAAAAATTACTGTAAGATTCTTGCTTATATTCTCCTGTTACTGTTCCATCTGCATCAGAATTGGAAATAAAAGGCAGGGCTCTACAGAATTGAAAACCACATATGGACAGAAATTTCAGAACTATTCAAGTCTGATGTCCCTGGTTAGACCCATGGCCAGTGATACAGAGAAAGAGACAATGAACAATGACAGGAGCATGTCTCTATAGGAGATAAAATCTTAGCTAAGAATTACCAGAGTATGTAGAGGCCTTAGCATAAATGAAGAATACATTTCTGAGTTCAAAACCAGAAAAAACTGTCATTACATGAACATCTACTAAAACACATACCCACTCACTGGCCTTCGCATCTGACACTGATGCATCCTCCAACCAGCCACTGGGGATATTTGAAATACGTTCTTCCAAATAGCACCATCTATTCTCTAATGATTTTCTAACACAAATGCCATTTATACAAATAAATTATTTTCTAGCCATGCTGTGATAAACCTACCTTATTTTCTCCCAGCTACTCTTGTTAAGGACAGGTAAATAAGAATGTTTACAAATAGCTCCCAACTGAACCCCACAAGCTGCAGTTCACAATGAATAAATGTCAGAATAAGGAGCAGCAGACCAGCATTATCTCCCCTCCCACATGGCTGCCCTTCAGCTACCTAACACTCAACAGTTTTTGAGATCTCATTTTGGGAATGCTGACAGTTCTGGATACTACATCAGTGTCAAAATCCAAATTGGCAGGGTCCTTTGCTTACTCCCAACTCAGTCGTAGTGGTTAAAGGGCTCCTGCCTAATCACATAAATATGTTCCCTTGCAAATTGCAAAGCTGCCTGTCAGTCAACTCTCACTAAATCCCAAAGGGATCTTGAAATTTTGAGGAGATTTCTCTCAGTGATTTTAGCACAGTAAGAACAAGCAAACTGTTTCATTACAATGAAGACATGGTCCTGAACAATCTGCCCAGGAGCGTTTTGTAAGTGAACTGAAGATGGACCTCCAAGAATTCAACGCACTTGTGGCACTATTCTTGTATCAGCCAGCAGTCGTTATTTAATTAGAGCCACAAAATATTTCTTTTACCTTGAATAATCTCACTAAATGCTGCAATTTTGAAAGGACCCACAGGATGCCCAAATTCTGCTAATAATTTTAGGCAATATACGAATAACAAAAACACGGGAACAATTTATTCAATATCTTCTAAAGGAAATAAATACTTCATTCTGAAGTGTTATTTATATGTTGCTCCCTTTTAGACATCAATCTGTGTTTTTAAAATGGGAAAGAAATTAAAACTGTTTAATAATTGGAACACATATCATTCACCCACAAAAACGAAATAATTTGTTTAACATTGACTCATTCTGATACTAATTTGAGTTTTAACCTTTTCTCAAGAGACATGGAAACAAATAATCAGAATGGAAAGGCAGGCACAATTTAGCATTCACTGCTGCAGGTGCCTAATATTATTTTCCTTAGAAATCAAGAATAAGACCAGCTACACAAACTGGTACACTATTTGGCTTGATAAACACTCCCAACAACTTATATTTTATTATAGTTTGGACTTGGTTTTGTTTTCTAATCCAAAAATTTCATAGAACTGAATAGGACATTTATGGGCAACCTGTGCTCAGTGGCACTTCAGTAAAAATCAATGCAGATTTGGGGCTTTTGCTAGTTAGTTTCCTAACAATTAAAAAGTGATCATGCTAATGAGTATTCCTTAAACATGTTGCTGATTTTATCTCTAGCACAAGCCCATTCTGACCTGCATATGCCACTCTTTTCCTCCCAACTCTTCACTTACAGTTTCCACAAGACAATACACCTAAACCTTGCACAAGAACACTTCATTCTCAAGTGACTGTAGGAAATCAAGACTGGATTCACAATCCTTGCTCTGTTTTGGAAAATCCACCTCTTTCTCTATGCTGCTGGATGCACACATGCCATTGAAGCTAAGCTAAGCTAAACTCTTGAATTGATGGAGAATTGTAGCAACTGGGGTATAGAACTCCAGATAAAGCAGAAAGCACTTTTAACTACAGAAATGCTCATTGTCATTAACTTCTTTTGTTCAGTATCACCATAACCCATCCCAAAGAGGCAGGACAATCTTTTCATATGAAGCTATTCAAACCATAATAAAAAAACAGAAGGATTTGAAAGGCAGTCCTATAAAGACAATTCCAATTAAATTAGTATAAAATTATTTTATACAAATGCAATGTTGTATTCAACAAGCAACATACACATTTTCCTGTCAGTTATACATTCTCAGAAACTCAGCACAACATCAGAGATACCAAAATCTCACATCTGTATTCTGCTCTATGTCAGCCTATGAAGATTTCTGTAAACCAGAGTAACTCTTGGCTTCAACAAAACAGCATGAGTATAAAACCCATGTCATGCAGGAGAGTCAAAACCAACACATGCAGATGAAACAGGTCAAATCCCTCAGTTTCAAAGGAATAAAGAGCATGTAATTGTGATAGCTTTACATTTTTTTGGTAGCCACTGTTTAAAACAGGAATAAAACCACTCTGCCTTCTACACTGTGTAGCAGGGGAAGAATGTTTGGAAATTCATTTATACATCAAGGGCAACTAAAAATTAAGCAGCTTAAAGGTCAAAAAAATGTTGATGTCAAATGTCTTCAAGAAAACAAACATATTTTAAGATAAGAAAGGATTATTGTCATCTACTCTGACCTTTTAAGTCATATAGACAAGAATATTGCACAGTAATTCCTATCTTATACCCATAATTTGTGGTTGGGTTTTTCCAGCTTTTCTTTTTTAAACAAGAAGGTAGCTCCACTGTCAGAAAATTTGCCAACACATTATGGAACTGTACACTAGAAATCAGTTATATTTTCTAACTCTGGTCCACATCAGTTCATGAAAGTAAAAAATATTTTCAGCAGAACCAAGTGTCTGAATTGCAAATCTGATTCCAGGAGTTCTTCAGCACAGTTCTGAAGGAAGCAGAAAGTTTCTAAGACTGGGTAAAAGTCAGACCTAAGCAATACCTTAAATTGGCAATTTAAGATGGTAAAATAGAAAGCAGCTATTGTGATATTTAACTCAATGTGTATTTGTGAATACCTTTGTCAGAGCAAATATAATCTACAGGTTACTCTGCTGCTCTTCTTACTCTTTATAAATCAGGAAATTAATTACCCAGAAAATGGTCTCCTGTAGTAGGAAGCTGAACAGGTCTAATGTATAATTTATATATGGAAATTTAGGTGTCAACACTGTGACAAATCCTCAAGTAAATATTTTTGCAGTTAGATTTTTCTGTATCTGTCTTCCATAAAGAATGAGCATAACAGATTATCTCAATGATAAGATGTTATTTTGGTATGTGGGGTAGAACTGCATTTTTAATTTTTTTCCCAGCTAAAAATCAATTGAAATGAACAAGGTTTTTGTGCTCTATGAGAGAAGCTATTTTGATGACATCCCTTTTAGGAGAGTACCATTCACAGGGAGAGCACTAATATGAAGAAAATAGAAATTAAACAGAATGAGGTTTTCCAACATCCACCTTGCCATCTGTTAGGGGACATTTCAAACTCATGTTATGGCTGATTAGGGTTTTCTGAACATTCCCTCCTTATTTTGACACTGCCATTGCAACTTAGTCCAGTCATTTCATAAAGGCCTGTGCTTCAAGGGAGCCTTGGAAAATAGTTTTGCTTTGTAACACATTTCTAATAATAGTCATTGAATTGATAACTATCTAATGGGCACTTTGTGAGGTTCAGAAGCTCTAAATATTTCAAATCTGACAAGTGAATCCAATAATCTCTCTGTATTGGGGTGCTTTCTACCATGGGTGCATTAAAATAAGCAACACTTTAAACACTGACTGCAGTCCCATAACCATTAAAGCACTTAAAATCATTTACCAAAAGTTATTGAAATTTTTGAAGATTCAAGCTTTAATAGATTTAAAGATAGGATGAGATCTTTGGCATTTCACGGGGAAAGGAGTGTTTGACATATCTCTGACATTTCCTTGTTGAGTGAGGAATCACTGCAGTTACATTTCAAAGCTGAAAATGTTTTCTATCTTACACCAGCCTAACAACATCATCCTGTGACTGTGGAGAAAGTTGGAAGCCACTTACTCAGAGAAAAGAAAAAAGATCTAAGAAGTTCTGTTTATTTCAAACCACTTGGAACCAAGACTAGTCCATTGAAAATGACATTTGGAGAGGCCTTTTTTGATGTTTCTTCCATTATTTTGCTTATTTACTTTTCAAGTCAACACACACATTCAGCATTCATAACAGCCTGTGGAAGGACTTCCAATATTTTAACTACGTATTGCATGAAAATGCATTTCTAGTTTCTTCTTCTTTGGCTTTGCTTATTTACTTTTTTTGCAGCCTTGCCACACTATTATCCTATTCCCTAGGTGTAATCTCTTGGAGATTGTTCATTAGTACAGCTGGAAATTCAGTCTCATATGGCATGGCTGTTTTGACACTACATCTTATTCACAAAGAGGCCTGCCTGACAAGCTCAAGTTCATAAATCAATGTGCTACTCCAGCTAATTGGAAATATTTAATGCCAAGTCAAGAAACCTCAACAGCACAGGCTTTTTGCCTGGCCAACAGTGAGAGGGGGATGGCAGGTGAAATAAAAACCCATAGGAGTGGAGGGGAAACTTGGTCATGGTACACCTGTTACCACTGAGAGAAGAGCAGAAGTGACTCCTGACTGAAACATGCACTTCAAAACAATTCCCCTTACTCCAACATTAAATTACTCCCTGAAGAAAGAACTAGCCTGGAGATACAAGGAGCAGGAACACGGTGTTTTTGCTGTCCCAAACTGACTTTTTGCCCATGGGGACAGCTGGCACTCAATCCCTGTAATCTCTTCCAGACCCTTGCTGCACCCACAGCCAGTTGCATGCCCACCATCCCCAGTCCCTGAGTATGGAAGGAGGTCACAAATCTTACTCTGGTTGCGCCTCGCTGTCTTTCTCAGCACAGGCTCCTCCATTCGTGCTTTTTCTTCCCTCTCCTTCCAGCGCCTCAGCTGCTCTTCTCTCATTTTGTAGAACAGGATCTGCTTTTGCTCTTCGTTCAGCTCTGCCAGGAGCTCAGGGTCAATATACATATCACGCAAAATTTGCTGCAGCATGGTGGCTCAAAAATTTAAAAAAAAAAAAAAAAAAAAAGAAAGAAAAAAAGAAAAAAGAGCAATCTGCTTCCAATTATATTTACTACAGTGACAAAACCCCACCGATGGCACTCCAGAAAGCAACCTGCAGCAAAGGAGCTCTCCCACACCTGCCTGCCCAGGAGACTTTTGATTCTTCCTCTGGTCCTCTTTGTGCAGACATGTTCTGCTCCTTGTCTTGACAGGGACAGAGTTCCCTCTTTATCTCATCCTCCAAAGGAAAGGACAAGTGTCAAGGGAATGTAAGGAGGAGGAACAGACAAGGATAACAAAAAGAACATAAAATGCAAAGTCCAGGAGAAAAAAGAAAAAAGTCACTTCAGTAGTCTTGACTGCAAGCCATTAAAATTAGGGATTCTTGATTGAACCCATCAGCTTTGCTCCTTGAGCAGAAGGAAATTCAATAGAGAGAAAGCCTCAGACTTTCAGGTCAAGCAGTTCCCTTCAGCAGCAATACACTCCCAAGGGTTTAAGTGTTGCCCAGGGGTTTATAGTGATGTCACGGCTACAGGTATCACCTACACTAACAATATCTATGTCACTTTGGGAACTGATCTCTCCTGATAAGAGAGGAGAAACAAGTTTGCCTATTATTTCCCAGTCTAGGCTGTTAACTAGTCTCAACAGAGTAAGTCATATTAGAGGTCCTATTTACCTGGTGTTGACAAATACTGTCATGCAGCAAACTGATTAAAATGCCTCTAAAATTAAAGGCAGATGTAACAAAAGCCACACGAATCTTATCACTTTATAAATAAATTAATATTAATTAAACAAGACTAAGTTCTCAGCAATTCATGCAGACTCTGCAAGCCCTGATGTTAATTCATTTTCCACTTGGTGGCTGGAGAAAGTTACAGTGGTGCTCTTCCAGGAGATTATGGCTTTTCACTGTGTGGCAGTTTTATTAAAATTAGTTTAAAAATATTATTTCAGCACCAGGGCCAACAGCCACTTAATTATAGAAAAAAACAAAGCAAAAGCAAACCCTCTGGATTTGGGAGTCTGCTTTCACTGGGCAGGGGTTCAGCTCTCAGCTGCACCAGGGAGGGGCGGCACTTCAAGGGAAGGGGGCCACTTTCTGAGCCAAACTAAGACCTGGCCACTCAGAGTCATTACAAAATACAGATCATTAGCAGGCTGAGCCACATCCTTCTGCTTGATGTTTACACAAGAAGGAAGGAAGGGCAAAAGCAGGTCTGTATTTCCTCATGAGAAACCTGCTTTATAGATAAGGAGTTGTCAAAGTCTTACATGACTTCCATGACCTTGTATTCAAAAACTTAACTGCTAATCCATCTATTTGTGTATCATTGTTTAGAGGTATGCAAAATATTAATATCCTAATTTAGGCAGAAAACAAAACTGATATAAACCAAAATTCCCTAGAAGACCCATCACCTAGAAGCATGAAACCAAAGATTAAGCTTGAATGTTGCCTTCAGCTAAAGCAGAATTTCAGAACCCAGTTTGGGCTTTAAAGACTTCAAGTCCATATGCTACTTTGCAATTCAGGATCTCTCTTATGTACAGATTTTGTCTACTAAAACAAAATACCTTTTCTATTATTATTATTTTTTAAGAAACAAGGTTTGGTAAGAAAAAACCTAGGGTAAGGAAGATTTTATTACTGCTTCTTTATTTCACTTGGTCAGGTACAGAAAAGGGAGACCCTGAGGGGGTTGGCTTTGTTTCTCTGCTTTTATTCGATTATATTAGAGCTGTGGCTCCACATTTTGGCATTAATTGAAAAGGACTCACCTTTGCAAAGGCTTCAGGGCAAGCAGTTTTGCTGTTTTACTCATTTGTCATTATTCTTATTTTATTTTGCTTGACTTCACAGACCAAAAATCAAATCCTGATCAGAAACTATCACAGTGCAAAAAACAAACTCTTCATCATGGATTATGTGCATTTAAGCATGGTAAGTAGAACCATTTCTAAACTGCACTCAGCTGTAGAAGTAGCTCAGGATGGAGATACAAGACAGCATGCAAACAAATTTTCCGTCAGCTACTGATAATGCTCAATGGGTAACCACCCAACAAAACCTGCAAGAGCAAGGACACGAAATGACACTTCAATGGGACATGAACAACCCACTGCCTTAAGATTATTCACCAAAAATATCTGAAGATGGTAACCAAATGATCAAGTGGAATTAATCTGGGGGGGAATTATCTGTTTTTCTTAGAGGTGGAAGTGTTATCTAATCATAGCAGTGAATCTGATCGACTTGCCCCGACATAGCTTTTCTCTGGGTTGCAGTAATCCCAAAAGAAAGAACTGGAAATACGAAGAAGCAAGGAAGATAAAGAAACACCCTATCTGACATAAGCCAAGATCCAACAGAAACAGAAAGATACATCTTACATTTTGCCATTAATTTCTTCTCCAAGATAAATACGCTCCGCTACATACTGCTTGGTCTTTGGACTTCCACATGGGTGGCACTTTTTCATCATCTCTTTCTCTCTCTTTGCTATCACTGGTAGCTAAATTTGTTTTAAGACTTGCATTGTTTTATGGGGTGGAAAATTCAGGAGGATCAATGGAAGGAATCGAGTTTTTTTTACCAGTCCCTTCTTTTCCCTTACTAATTGCTAGGTGATTTGATCTGATAACAACCTGGGAATGGAGCGCATGGAAGGAGAAGCTGGTTACCTCCCTGCAGATCCCAAAGGTGTAGAGAACCTCAGTCATGTGAGTAAATACTAGGCATGCTTGAGAAACCACTCAATGTTCCACTTAGCAGAAAAGAGTAATGGTGGATGTTGCTCTGAGAAATCCATCCTTTGAATATACTGGGCCAGTGAGGTATTTGGCCCAAACCAGGCCCAGCCTGGTGGCTTCATCAGGAGCTGAAGCTCCCTCATCAGGAGCTGGCAACACTACCAGTCTATGCTGAGCACCTTGAAGGATATGAAAGAATTTGGCAGGACGTCCAACTTCCATACAGCCTCACCAGGCCAGAAACACTAAGAAGCAATAAATAATTCAGATAATTAAGCTTAATCACTAGCCACTATTCCAGTGCCTCATATTTCTTCTGCATTTGACAAATCTTTTCAGAATTACATTTCTCCCTTCTGAAGAAATACTCCCAAAGCACTATTGAAAAACAATTAAAAAACCTCTCTGATACAGTGAGAATGACCCCAAACATGCACTGCAAAGAATAAAAAAACCTGACTACATAAAATGTAGTAATCTGCCCCCTTGTCATCACCACCTTGAAGAAGATGGACTACAGGAAAATTCTCCCCCTCGTTCTTTTTCCAGCCCAGTTGATTTTCTAGCCTCTTCACTTGCTCTCCTGCCCACTGTGACAAAGCTTCTTGAGAAGCCAGTACCCTCAGCGGGCAGTCCAAATGTAAGAACTGCCCTGACTAGCTGTGATCCTTTATTTGGAATGAAATAATATTTGTGTAGAAGCATTGTATTTCTACACTGCTTGCCTTTCTTCCTGTGCAGACATCATTTTAGATGTTACTGTCCTCTTCACATCCTTCCTTTAGTGTTTAACAGTCGTGTTTTCCCAGCCCACTCCCACAACACACAGGGGTGTCACAGGTATCTGTGCAGCTTTGTATCCCAGTCAATCTGTTGGCTGTACATCAAATGTTCCCAGTGGTAACTTATGCCAGTTCCAAACTGGATTTTTAACCCAGTGGACACCGATTCTCATCATAGTTCTCCTTTTCATAAATATTTCAAATAGTCTGAATTGTCATGAATTAACTCTCCTGATTTCTCAGAAAATTAAACAAATCCATGAGATCTAAAATTCAGAAGGTAACCTTGAAGAAACACCAAACCTACTATAAAAACTCTTGCTATTTCTAGGATTAGCTCATTCATTTTGTGATGAATTATCTTTGCAGATCCATCCACTCAGAAAGCTAAGGGACAGGAGATAACTCAGGCAAAACACAAAATAAAACCTTCTATTGTAAACCAAAAATTTCTCTCTTTCCTTCCTTTCCCAGGTCTGATTAATATTTGGATTAATTAATGACTCAGAAGACCAAGGGAAATTTGAAGTAAGGATACCCACTTCTTGATTGTGGCCATCCATCATCTTTCCAGCTTTCCTGTGAAGTATTTTGAATATTTTGAAAGGATAATGAAGTCTCCCGTGCTTTTTCACCTTGGTTACCCCTTGTTCAACGGTCCAAGCTAAATTAAAATCGTTACAGAAAGACATTACATCTCAAAAGCCAGTACACAAAATAAAATTACTATTAATGTAGTTCTTTGTTCACAGGCATTACATTATGATAACTGGCACACAACTGGATAATCTAACTAGTAGCACTCTCTGCAAGGAGCTCAGAGCTGTTTAAAATTTAAGTTTGAAGCTTCCTTTAGTCTTAAATGTCATCTTCTGGGACTAGACACACTCTGTCCCATCTCTGATATAGCACCGTCCTGGCTAAGCACTCCTCAGCACTGCCACTGGAATTCATCTGCTGGGGAAGGGAGGAAGAGGAAAAGGCACAGAAAAACATTTTAGTTTCATTTTCTAAGAAAAGGGGAAGTACTTAATCGGCTAAGGCCTGCAAATCTCTTCATCCATTTTCCTCTGAGCATGTGCACCCTCCATCCCCTGAACAGAATAGCTGCAAATGCTGATTAATGCTGAGCCAGCAGAACAGCATTTTCATTTGGATTTTACAACACAGCCATATAATCCATTTTAGCCATGTCATTTACATAAAAATATTGTGCTATAACCTATACATTACAGGGAAAGAGAGGGGTGTAATGCACCTCTCTCCTTAAAGGAAGGATTAATAGAAAAACCAGTAAACAAAAAATGGGGCAATCACGTTATCCAGACTGTGAACTACATGGCCTTAATCAAATTTTTGTGGTTTGTGTCTTTATATTTCTCATTTTTTAAGGGGAGGGAGTGTGCAGCATTTTAATTTTTCAAGTCCTGCTGTGTCAGCATCAAAAAGAGAACAGTAGAACCTGGAACTAAAAGGTGCAGGAGGGAGCTGACCATGTAAAAAGGGAAAGGTAAAATTAACATTTGTTTGAGACCTTCTAAACCCTACAAATCTGTCAATGGAAATGCAAATACGTTAGGGCACTCCCCACAACAAACCAGTTTTGTCTCTGATGGACAAGTTCCCGTCAATTAAAAGCTAGAAAAAACAAAACCAGTTGAGAACCATCCCTTCCCCACCTCCCCTATCACAGATGGGTGTAACAAAACCTCCCTGTTTTAACTCCATTTCCATAGTCAAGTCTGTGGCTCCCTCTAAGGGCTAAAATGAATTTCTCAACAGCACAATCTGCAGCTGGAGCAGAATGATCATTTCCCTGAAGCTGCTATTCCATTACAAAGCACCACATAAAGCAAGAATGAGGGTATGTTCTTCCAGACCTTCCTTTTCTATACAAGGCCAGTATTAGTAAATCAGGCTATGACGTGTTTTGGAGCATGGGCAGGCTTTGCATGTTCATCATCTTCTTTGTACTGGTTCAAGACTGTGATTTCTAAGAAGCGATGTCATAACTAAAAAAGAGAATAAGAAAAAAAATTGAGACAAGTACA